TTTAAAAACTTTTATAGACTTAACTAAAATACTCACTTTTAATGTTATCAAAGATTAAAAAGTAAAAAAATAATAAAATAATTGCAAACAAAGAAAGAAAAAAAACACGTCTCGTCTTAGCCGTAAACAATTGTACAGTTGCAAAAAATGGCGATTACAATTAACTTCCCACCCCGAAAAAATAGTTATGCGTTGGCAGCCACAAAATACAGATCGCAACCGATTGCATTATTTTGAAACCTCATAAAATTGTCCTCTCTACAAATGAATAACGCAGTTTACGACTGTCCTTGGGTCAAAACTCGGGGAACCACACTTGAATTAGCTCCGACGTCACTAATCGTTGGGGTCGACAGAGGCACGTCACGCGTAATTAATGTGGATAGAAGAAAAGGGTTGCTTCATTAAAAAGAAAACATTTAAAGAAAAATAAATATAAGATCCAAAAGGAAAAAGAAAGTAAAGAAAGAAAAAAAAAGAAAGAAAAGACGAATTCATACTTGATGTCTTAGTTTTATTCTACGTTCTCTGAAAGAAAAATGCATTACACTCTCACAGTTTTAATTTATTACTATTATCATTATTATTATTATTATTATTATTATTATTATTATTGTTTTTATTATTATTATTATTATTATTATTATTATTTTTTATTATTATTATTATTGGTATTATTATTATTATTATTATTATTATTATTATTATTATTATTATTGTCATCATCATCATCATTCGATTTCTGCTATGGACACACTACCTACCAAGTCTGCGGAAAGACCTAAGGCAGGTCGTGGTGTGTTGTTATATTACATTTCATGTTAATTTTTTTTTTTTTTTTTTTTATCTCCGGTGAAGTTGCTAGCGTTACATAGACAAAGTTCTCCTTAGTGTGTGTGCTGTACTTAATAAGACAATTTTCTGTATGTCTCTTAAGCTGGGGTTTCAGGGATTCTTTCAATGTGTTGTTTTGTTCCATTTTTATAATTCCAAGTGCACCTATTACCACTGGTATTATTCTTGTTTTCAATTTCCACATTTTTCTATTTTTCAATTTCCAGGTCTTTGTATTTTGATAGTTTTTCAAATTCCTTGGTTGCTATGTTACAATCCGCTGGACAAGCCATATCAATTAGTAGGCAAGTTTTTTCTTTCTGGTTTTTGACAATAATGTCCGGCCTATTTGCTTCAATTTTTCTGTCTGTGTGGATGGTATAATCCCATAGAATGGTGACATCTTCTATTTCTGTAACCGGCGCTGGCCGATGTTCATACCAGTGTTTGCTTACACATTTTCCAAAGTGTTTGCACATTGTCCAGTGTAAGTATTGCCCCACTCTATCGTGACGATTTTTGTATTCATTTGGGGCAAGTATAGAACATCCTGAGATTAGATGGTCTATTGTTTCTTGGTATTTGTCACAGAACCTGCATTTTGGATCCACATTATTATGTATGATATTTGCCTGAAAATTCCTAGTGAAAAGACTCTGGTCTTGCGCTGCAAGAATAAAGCCTTCAGTTTCAGACTTTAATCCAGATGCTCGTAACCATCGATGAGTATTAACTTTATCAACATTGGGTTTATTTGCACGTTCTGGATATTGGCCATGCAGAGGTTTGTCTTGCCAGCGTTGTTTCATCTGTTCAAGGGCTTTATCCTTGGCTTTCTTTTCATATCTTTTTGCTGCAATAGTTGGTTCTTGGCTTCTGTTTTGATTTACTACAGAATCTACTAAATGTAAATGTTGTTTGTATTTACTGCCTTCTTTTATTATTGAATATTTTTTCTTTCTGTTTTCATGTTGTTTCACTAATTTTATCATCCAGTCATTTGTTGTTTCCATGTAAGTTAGTAAGCCAATAGTTGTTGTCTTGTATGACAATTCTAGCTGAATAAGACCTCTTCCACCTTCTTTTTACGGGGTATGTATAGACGGTCTACATCAGCCTTTGGATGATGCATCTTATACTTAGAAAGAAATTTTTCTTGTTTTAGAATCCATTTGTCTGATGTCATTTAGAGTCCAGTTCAAGATGTTGAAACTATATTGGACCACTGGGATGGCTAGGTTATTAATGGCCATAATTCTGTTCTGAGAATTCAATTCAGTTTTTAATACCAGTCGTACCCTTCTATAGTACTCTTTACGCACTATTTCTTTCATTATCTTATGGTGAATTCCTTCACTCTCATTTACACCTAGGTACTTATAAGCTTCTCCTTGTTCTAAATCTTTTATTATTACAGCAGGGTCTAAACTAATAGAGGAAGTTTGTTGTAGCGATCCTCGTAAAACTGTAGCTTTAGCACATTTTATCCAAATTGAATTTCATTCCGATGTCTTCACTGAAGCATTTTACAGTTTGCAGAAGACCTTCCAGCTCATTGTCATTCCTAGCATACAATTTTAAGTCATCCATGTAAAATAGATGGTTTATTTTCTTTTGAGCTATTTTGTAACCGCATTCTGTCTTGTTAAGTTGGCTGGTTAATGCTATAAGTGATATGCAAAATAATAAAAGGAGACAAAGAGTCACCTTGAAATATTCCTCTATTGATGTTTATTTCCCAGACTTATAGGTTCCATTTTTATGATTGAGGTAAAGTGTAGTTTTCCATATCGACATACATTGTTTGATGAAATTGATGATAACAGGTGATACCTTGTACATACTTAAAGACTTTAAGATCCAGGAATGTGGTACACTATCAGATGCTTTACGATAATCTATCCAGGCAATACTAAGATTTTTTTTTCACGGAAGCAGTTTTCCAGGATCATCCTATTAATAAGTAATTGGTCTTTACATCCGTAGCAGCCTCGTTTGCACCCTTTTTTGTTCAAGTGGTAGTATGTCATTTCTTTCCAAGAAGAAATATGTCTGTTTTGTTAAAATAGATGTTAACAGTTTGTATGTTGTTGGAAGACATGTAATTGGTCAATAGTTTTCGGAATATTTGTGTCACTATTTTTGGGTAGAAGAAAGGTAATTCCTTTGGTCATCCATGCAGGAATTTTAGTTGGATCGGTAACCATTTCTTGAAGTTCTTTGGCGAGTTTTTGTGTGCTGTATTTAAATAATATAGCCAGAAGTTAGGAATTTTATCTATTCCTGGAGATTTCCAGTTGTGTGCTTTTTTCAGTGCACATTTAACATCTTCTTCTGTGATTCCCGCCCATGTCTGTTCTGGTTTATTTTCATTCGTTCTAACTCTTGCGCAATCCAATCTGCCTCTTCGTTGTGTTCTTTAGGGCAAGCCCATATTTTTCCCCAGAACTGTATAACTTCTTCCATTTTAGGGGGGACTGTCACTTCAATTCTTTGTTTACCTATTTCCCTGTAAAATTTCTTTGCATCGGTTTGAAAGATCTTGTTCTGTCTATAGAATCTTGATCTTTTCTCGTAGCGTCTTATTCTTTGAGCCTTCAGTTGTATTGTTTGCTTTATTTTTTCTTTAGTTGATAGGACTTCATTTTCATTCCTGATATTGTATTTTCTTTCGACTCTTCTGCCTTTTCTAGTTCTTACATTTACTCCTCTTGCTAGTTCATCAGTACTGATAATTCACTTCTAAGGTGTTCAATTTCTTTTCTATTTTTCTTTTCAAGGTGGATCTTCATGTCTGTGAGACTGCCTTTTTTTACTTTGATGTTCAGTTTATTTGTTTGCTGCTATTGCTGATGCATATATTGCTTCATTGAGATTTATATGAGTGTCTTCTTCATCCAGAATCAATTTGAGTGCTGCATTATAGAGCTTAATAGTTTTGAGGTTATGCTTTGTTGGTTGTAATTTTGGGAGTTGTTCTCGTTCCTCCATTGCAATATTCTGTATCTGACTTATATGGCTCATGATTTCATCCTTGGCTTCTTGTATATTAATCTTGTTTTCTGTGAAATAATTCTGTTCGATGAATTTTGAACTCGTTTTATTACCGTCTTGTGACTGACTAAGATCATACCTTTCCAACATTTCTAAATTTTCAGCATTATCTTCACAGTGATTTGTGTGTATTTCGGTTATTATTATTATTATTATTGTTATTGTTATTATTATTATTATTATTGTTATTATTATTATTATTATTATTATTATTATTATTATTATTATTATTATTATTATTATTATTATTATTATTGTTATTATTATTATTGTTATTATTGTTATTGTTAGTATTATTATTGTTATTTTTAGTATTATTATTATTGTTATTATTATTATTATTATTCGCTTCTGTCGTCCAAGAACTATTTTCGTTTCTCGAATATTCCCCAATTTTTCATTTCTCTTATTTCGTTTACCTTATATACTTTAGTTTTTCTCTTTATTTCATTCTTTTCTTTTTGTTAGCATTTTGGGATTTTTTTTTATTGTGTGGTTCTTTTTTTATATTTACTAAACATAGCCTAGTACGACACAGGGCTAAATGAGTGTAATTCGGACTAGGAAGATTGTTCTGTACCAATGTCTGCTTACCTTGAAAATCAGCATTCAAAGTATATTTTTACTTGGGTGTGGATAACGCCCACTGGATACATGCATATATCTTAGTCATAAGCATTTTGCTTTTTATTTTTGTTTTTAATTATCTTAATATTTTTCTATTTTTTTAATCCTTTTCTTTCTTTCTTTCTTTCTTTATTTCTTTCTTTCTTTCTTTCTTAAATATCCCATATTTCTCTTTGGGATATTCATTTTCTCAAAAGATACTTTCTTTCTTAAAAAATCTCATCTTTTTTGTTCATTCTTTTTTTATTTGTTTGTTTGTTTGTTTCTAACAAAATTCAGTATTTCTTTCATTTTTCGTTTGTTTTTTTTTTCTCCTTTCTTAATAGCTTCACCTTTTTTTTTCTCTAAAAATTTTTCTTTCATAAAACTCCATCATTCTCTTTTATTATTTTCCTTTCTTTCTTTCTTTCTTTCTTTCTTTCTTTCTTTCTTTCTTTCTTAAAACTCCCAGTTTTTGTTCATTCTTTTTTAATCCTTTCTTTAAGAATCCAATCTTTCTTTTTAATTTTTTTTCTTTCATAAAAGACCCGTCTTTTTTTCTTTCTTTTTCTCTAAAACTTTTCTGTCTTTTTTGTTCTTTTCTTTCTTTCTTAAAAATCCCATCTTTTCGTTGTTTTTTTTCTTTTAAAAACCTTTCTTTTTCTCTAAAACTCTTCTTTCTTCCTTCCTTTCTTCCTTCCTTCCTTCCTTTCTTTCTATTATATTCTCTCGGCTTTTCAGTTTCTTCAGCGAATATTGAAGCCCTCTTGAAAACCGTCAAAGACACCAGGTTGCTCGAGGCACAGCCGGACAAAAAGCAGAGAAGACATCGAGATGATTTATATTCGTTCCTTGTGTTTCTCTCTCAAATGTGTGCACCATTTAAGTGATAGCCATTTCCACTCTCCGATATTTATCAGCGACGTGGACCATTGTTACTCTCCTCTTTCTTACACTGGCAAAACAAAGTAACATTTATCAATTTACTTCATTGGAAATTAAAACCCCAAACAGCGAATTGGCAGGTGAGGAAACTAGGATATTTTACAAGGAGAAGCTTAACTCGTAAGAGAAGTGCAAGAGAAGCTAACCTTTCGCTGAAGAGGCTTGGGCCTCCCTTTCTATGATCCTTATCAAAAAACAATTGACAGTTGGAGATGGGGTTTCCCTTACCCGTTGCTTTTATGGAGGGTACAAGTTACTGTCAGTAGCCAGACACAAGACACACTTCATTACATATGTAACTACGCGTGGTGGTGTTTGTGTATATGTCAGCAGACGCGTGTGCCGAATTGCGTTTTCATATGTGCAACTCTATAAACAAATGAGTAAACGCAAAAATCATAAAACGTTTAGCACTTACAAAAAAAAAAAAAAAACTTCAAAGGATAGTTGTTTATTCTATTTATTGTTACTTTTAATCCGCACATTTTAAAGCTCGTAATCTGAAACCGTTGGAAAAGCAAATTCTACAGATACATGTCATAAGGCGATGGATATTAATCTCGTATCGGTGGTAAATGTATTTAGATGTTCAAAGAACATCGCAATTATATAGTCTTATGCCACTATAAGTTATTCTTATTTTATACGCTGTCACTTCAGAAAGTGAGCGATCATGGCTCTCCACAATTTTTATCCATTTAGATTCTGAGCAGTATTTTTCTTTTTACTTCCTCTCTCGTTCCACAATCCTGCCCCCTATCTACACAAACCCGTTAGCTAGATTACTCGCTGTTTGCTTCTGTTACACTTGTCTTCAATATGTCCTGTGATTGTCACATTCTCAAACACTTCTTTCCTCATTATGAATCTATCCTGCCACCCATCTACACAAACTCGTTAGGTAGATTACTCGCTGTTTCTCTCTGTCCCTCTTGTCTTCAATATGTCCTGTGAGTGTCACATTCTCCAAGCTCTCTTCCCTCATTATGTGTGCCTAGTCTCCCAATCATTTACACAAGCTTCTTAGGTTAGTTACTCACTGTTTCCCTCTGTCCCTCTTAACTTCAATATATCCTGTGAGTGTCACATTCTCCAAGCCCTCTTTCCTCATTATGTGTGCCTGGTATTTTACCCATTTACACAAACTCGTTAGCTAGATAACTCACCGTTTCCATCTGTCCTTCTTGCATTTTATATGCCCTGTGAGTGTCAAATTCTCCAAGCCCTCTTTTGTCATACTCTGTTCTAGAGATTTTTTCCCTTTCTGATTCTAATTTTAAGTGCCATTTCACTTACATTATTTACATTATTCAGACTCTTATCTTCACCTTCATTGTTATATTGACAACGTTTTGGCCGTTGTACGCTCCGGCCTTCTTCGAGTGATTGGAATTTCGAATCGAACCCTTTATTTTCGTCCACCGGGAGCGTATAACGGCCGAAACGTTGTGAATATGGCAATGAAGATGAGGATTACAGCCCGAATAATGTAAATAATGTAAGTAATCATAATACCTCATCTCAGAGATATAGACAGAAAATGCCCTTTCGTTTTTCCAATTTCGTCACTAACATACTCTGCCTATGGTATTCTCAGCATCTTTCTGTATGATCACATCTCTCTTGTCTCAAGTTTCTTCGTCATCTGTGACGAAGTTGTCCAACATTCACTCCCATATTCAACACTCTTTGTTTCTTACAAAATCTTCCTTTTGTTGAGCATTTGGAAAGCATCTTCTGTGATTTAAATACGATTCTGGATTCGGTGACACATTTTCCGTCATCTGTTAGAAATATTTCCTAGATATGGACTTGTTTGATTTTGACATCACCCATTTGTCGCTAATATCTTCGGCTTTTTCTCTTGCCCATCATGCATTCTGTCTTCTTGCAATGAATGCTTAGTCCTTTCTTATCGCTTTCTTTTAGTGCTTTGTCCAGGATTTTGTGCAGTTTTCTTTTTGTGTCTGCTACCAACATGGTGTCATCTGCGTATCTTATGTTGTTAAGATTGGGTCTATCGATAATAAACCCTAGTAGGACTTCTAGTTCCCTTAGGCTCGCCTCACTGAAAAAGGTGAATCAATACAGTGAGAAGATGCATCCTTGTCTTACACTCTTTTCTATTTTGTGCACTTTTTCATTTTCTATCCGTATGCAGACGGTCTACTTCTAGTAAATTATCTTAATTACTTTACTATCTTAAGCAAATAAATCATGTTTTCCTACCCTTCATAAATAGCCATAAAGTGAGAAGACACATGGCGTGAAAGGAAACGAAGAATATTCTGTATTACATTAACTTGGAATTAAATTTAGTTTTGGTTAAATTTGCTTCGTTAATTTAACGTTAATTAATGTTGAATGCAAGTTTCATAGAACAAAATTCACAAAGGATTAATACATAAGTAGACATAAGTCCGATTTTACACTAGAGTAAAAAAAGGTACACAAAGGTTCACTTTGCACTTGGGTCAAAAAAGGTAGACATAGGTCCACTTTGCACTTGAGTCAAAAGGTAGGAATAGGTCTACTTTGCACTAGAGTTAAAAAGGTAGGCATAGGTCCCCTTTGCACTTGAGTAAAAAAAGTAGGCATAGGTCCACTTTGCACTTGAGTCGAAAAGGTAGACATAGATCCACTTTGCGCTCGAGTCAAAAAGGTGGACATAGGTCCGGTTTTATACTAGAGTAAAAAGGTAGGTATTTTGCACTTGTTTTGCACTAGAATAAAAAGGCAGGCATTGGTCTGGTTTTAAACTAGGGACAAAAGACGGATATATGATCTGTTTTATACTAACGCCCAAAACATAAACATAAGTCTGGTTTTACACTAAAGTAAAAAATGTGAGGAAAAGGCCGGTTTTACGTCTTAGTTAAAAATATAGACATAGCTCCGGTTTCACATGAGCGCCAAAAGGATAAACATGGGTCAGTTTTTATATTAAAGATCAAACAAAAGACATAGGTCCGTTTTTATACTAGAGACAAAAAAGGAAGACATAAGCCCGTTTTCACGATAGGGTAAAAAAGGGGGTTATAGTTTCGGCTTTCTACAAGGTTCCAAAAGGTAGACAAGAGATACAACGAACTACGAATTGGTTATCCCAAAATCAAGCAAATACGAATATTGAAATATCTCGGAAGTGTTTAGAGGACGGAAAAGTGCGATATCGAAATCTGAAGGCGCATTTGTATAACGAAATATGCCTTCCAAAAGCTAAGCAAAGTATTAAGAAACAGGAAGATTACGTTAGAAACAAAGAAAAGAGTACTGAACTGTTATGTAATACGGTCCTCCTATATGGCAGTGAATACTGGACAATTTCCTTATATACGAAGAAGAGAGGCAACAGAAATGTGGTTCTACAGAAGGATGCTGATAATGCCGTGGACTGAACATGCGAGTAGCGAGGAAGTTTTAAGTAAAGTGAAAACAAAAAAAGCACACTTATACTTTGAATCAGAAAGAGACAACTGAATTTTTTTAGGAGACCTAATACAGAAAGAAGGCTTGGAGAATTAAGCACTCAAAGGATATAATGAAAGAAAGAGGAACAGAGGAAAATAGCTAATAAACTTCTAAGCGAGCTTCTGTAAATGTTTGGCATAATAGCGATTTAGAGGGATAGCAAAAAGACAAACTCTACCAAGAGCTAAAATCGACAGGAAGTTGTGGAGAGTCATGATCGCCTATGTCCTGAATAGACACAGCATATAGAAGAAGATTAAATTACATCATCAGAAGGATTATTGTTGCCACTCGACCCTGTAAGCGTCCTCCGGAATCTGTCATTTAAACTAAGTATTAAAATATTTGGGGGACATTTTGCACCAAAAGTGTTAGCAAAATCTAAGACCTATTTCTGTAGTAAATTTGTCTTTATAACCACTCTTATAATTACAGAAGACACATATAGTTGTTAGTTCTGTCTTTGTGGCATTGTATATTTTATAACTACAAACACCGGATTGGCTACTGTAGGTATAGATCAAGGAAATCTTTTCTAAAACCTATATACATATACGTTAGCTTGAAAATTATTCATGTTTGCTTTAAAGAATCAATCTTTTAACAAGGAAGTCATTTCAGCCCTTAGCAGTTCCCGTTGTAAATAATGTCTGCAGTGCCCCTGTCTGGTCGAAATGGCTGTCTCAGATGGCGAGAATATCAGGCTTGTTCCACTGAGATTGTAAATCAGGAGAGAAAAAAAAGAGACAAAGAGAACTGTCACAGGGTCAAATTATGGGAGACAGAATAGGATGGACAAAATAATGCAGGAACATATAAAAAAAAAAAAGGACAAACTTGATGCAGGGTGTTAAAATGACCAAACCACTGTCGGTCAAAACCCCAGCTGCAAAGAATGGCCAAAAGAAGGTCGATAGAGACAGTATAATGACCACAGCCAGCCGGATAAATAGCCTTTCAGACGTTTTCGATTTATTTTGGCTTGTATTTGTTGACTTCAAGTGTCGTCATACAAATAGAAATACAAACAACGAAAAAACAAAAGAAAAAAACAGTAAAAACTGTTTAAAAAAAAAAAAAACTGAAGAAAAAAAAAATGAATAAAAGCAGACGATAAAAAAAAAACTTGATAGTTACCAACAACTCCTAAAGAAAGACTTTTATTTAACGTACGTGTGTGTCAATATGTATATATGTATGCGTAATTGTATGGCATTGCAGACATACAAAGTATGTTTACATGAAAAAGTCTTGTAACGTCATCTAAAGTGCTTGAGAAGATGTCTTCTAATGATTTTCATCTTTGCCTATCATACAAGAGTAATATACGCCGAGTTTTAAACTAATGGGAGAGTCACTGAAGATCGAACACACATCAGCCAAACTAGATTATTATTCAGATTATTTACACTCAGACAATTGTCCTTATGTTTGCTGAAATTGTCAAAACATATT